GGGGAGGGCATTCTCTCAACGGCATTACGGCACATGAGACATTAGACTGGGACACCGGGACGCGTCGTCCTACATAGATGTTGGCAGGTGACATTGGCATAGTTCAATCTTTCACCTAAACCATGCGTAGTCCATCAGTCTCATGGACACTCGTACACCCCGTACACCTCGTACAGCGCAATCTGGTAGGCACGTCCGAAATGTCGAGTCCGAGCTGTCGTCGGCTGTTCGTTGTCTTGGCCCCCCTCCCCCACAAATATCGCATATCGCAAGTCAGAAAGGAAGTATGTGAAGGAAAGGCTTTTGGATTTTTTTTTCCTTTACAAAAACAAAAGGTAATGAGCCGAGCCGTTGACCGTCCGGGCAGCCTGGGATGATTGCGCTACAAGACAACTCTTTTGACGCCACGGGGGAAAAATTACCCCGTTCTTTTCCACCATTTGTAAGAAAAAAGAAGAAGAAAAGGATTCCCGTTCGCCCAGTATGTGATTTTTTATTTCTTTTTTTTCTTTTGATTCTTCTTCATCTACCACGTCGTCAGGTCGTCCATCTTCCTTTCCTCCTCTGATCCCCTCATTATGATATTTGCACGATAGCAAAAATTTATCGCAACCGGCGGGCCTCACGCTCGGACTCGAGGAGGCAGAGGATGTCGTCTTCGCGGACTGCAGGAAGGAAACCATTCGTGTTAGCGAGTCGTGTTTTTCGGTTCTTCGTACCTGGCCGTGCATCATGCTTCGTTGCCTGGAGCGAGAAGAAAGGTGAGAAAAAAGAGACATACCAGGGCCCTTGACGTTACGGATGATGGAACGGCTCTGGTCGTCCATGAACTCGACGCGGACCTGGGTGACACCACCACGAGAACCTATTTTTCCTTCGTTAGTCGAAATGCTTTTCGTCTCTGGAAAGAACAGCATCTCCAGCGATAATCCCCCTTCCCCTCTAGAAGACAGAAGACAACAAAAAGAAGAGGAAGAAGAAAGACCAGCCACTGTCGCTCATTTCTCTTCTTCTTCATCGGCGAGGGAGGAGGAATGGTGATGCGACAGCATGACGACAGCGTGGCCACCATCTTTTCTTCTCTTCTTCTCGTTCCCTT